TAGAAACGCATTTTTTAAAAAGAAATCAGACGTCGGAAGAACATTGCTAATAATAAACAACAAAAAAAAAATTTTCGATTTTTCCGAGATTTTTCCAAGGGGTACCCCTTCAGATTTTGTGAAATTTTCGTTTTTTGCCAGTAACTCCCAAACCGTTAGCGATACGTGAAAATTGCATCAGATCTTTTTTGTAGAGGACGACGAGATCTACAATTTCCGTATAAAAACTTTTTGCTAACTTCAATAGTTTAAGAGTAATTTACAAAAAACAGTTTTTTCGTTTTTCGTCAATAACTCGTAAACTATTGACGACAGCGAAATAGTTTTACATGGAAATTGTAGATCTCGTCGTCCTCTACAAGAAAGGTCCTATGCATTATGCAATTTTTCCGTAGGTTCAATGGTTTAAGAGTTATTGAGGAAAAACGAAATTTTTTGTCAAAAGTTTGCTGATTCGACGGTGAAATGTCCGGATTTTATCAGTACCCATAAAATGCCAATTAATGATATATAACTCGTTAAATACTGAAGTTAGAAGAGAAATACATAGAAAGAAGATACTTGAGATGTTTTATTTGAATTTCTGAAGGCAAACAGAGTGAACCTACTGGTCTTTTTTATACTATACCTGTGTCCCGAATCCTCTCCGCTGTCGCCTCGACGCAACGAAGTTGAAATCGTGCGCATGCATAAAAGATTTGATAACAAAGCGAAAGGAAAAAATAAAAGAAACAATACCGTGTTTGAACTAAATGCATGCAATTTCTATATAAAAAGCGATTTGGTGATTCACGCTTTGCATGCACAGCCACGTGCACTTGTGTATTCAAAACACGTGCAAACGATGGCCTTTAGTGCGCGAGTACTCGTGCACTGAAAATAACATTTCAAATTGAGATAAGAAACATAATAAGAGGAATGACCTGCCGTTCTGTAGATAAAACTGGTAAGTGTACGTGATGCTCGTCATACTTTTTTCATGTCGATCAGAAAACTGGGACAACGTGATATACGAGTAAATATATTTATTTAATGAAACATGAATATACATATAGAGTGTGCTAGCTTGACAGGTTTTTTCATAATCGAATTAACCTTTTAATAGTAGTCGTGGCTTATGTAGTAAACAAGTAGAAGATAATATTCTTACATAACTAGTATCGTTTAAGTCGTTATCGCATTAAGTTTTACCTATTCGTCAGCGTAAAAGAATATTCAGATTCGAATTGTTCTTGCGGCAAAGTTAATACCCCGCAGCTCTGAGCAGAGGGCGTCTCGACGGGAGAACGTCTCCCTAACCAATCGTACTAATATTTATAATCAGTAGACGGAGTGGACGGAGTGCATTCGGTGCACATGCACCGGTGAGTATGTGGGATCGAGTGTTCATGACAATTTATAATACGCGCATGGATCAAACCGACCGCGAGTCAGCTAATAACGATACAGTACATCGTATGGACGAGTTCGCCAGAAACTTATATAACCGCGTCGGTCTCCGGCCTTCGTTCTAACCTGTCCACGTGCAATTTTAGAAAGTCGCAGGCTTATTATAACGCGGTTGCGGACTGATAAAACGCCTGCCAATTCGTGTGCCACATGCGTCGATAACGTATAGGACGGTCGACGCTGTCAACGCGCGATAATGAAGGAGGCGAGTAATGAAGTATTGAACGAGGAACAGTGGAAGCTCGAGGCGCAGGCTGTCATCGGCGACGTGAAGAACCATGTAAAGGAGATAAAAGTGGCGGAAAATCTGCGTAACAATAATCAGTTCGTTTATTTGAACCTGACCACGTTGGAGGGATCAAAGTTCTGCATCGAGCTGTCAGCTGCCGGTTTTGCCATCGTTGGTAACGAGCATGACGACACATCGCACAGAAGAACCGAGCATTTCGAGACGCCGTACAGTTTGCTAGATCTCGTTAGCCCGCGGTACAGAGATTCGTTCGGGAGTTCGCTTCAACGTAAGCTGGAACAGTTAAGTGACAGTCAATGAACGGGCTCGTTCATAGGACCTTCTGTCAGTCTCGACGACTGTCATTGTTTCGCTCCGGATTTAAACGGGAATAAAGTGGTTTCGTTCAATCAGCGTGCCAGTAAGCGTTTGAAATCGAAAATAAATCATGATTCTAATTGAGTGCATTCTCTCTTTGCGCAGTACTCTCGTTTAGCCCGAATCTAGCCGAGGATATCCGAGTGCTCGACAATTGCAAGGACAGTGCCGTATCTGGTACATGGTAACAAGTGTCCCGAAGGTTTTAAGTATTTACATATCAATGAATGTCAGTTTCACGGTGAATCATGCAGCACGACGCATAATCTTGTTCCAACGTCGCGCAAATCGATTTCGTTTAACCTTTAAATAAATATTTTTAACGCGATAGCGACGACCTGGTCGAAACCGAAGCAGGTGTTTTATCAATTGACAGGTCTATCGATAAGAACTGATATGAGGCTATCGTGATAAACGTTATAATAGGAGATTGTTTTGATAGATACGGTGATGCGAGTAGGACGAGTCGCGCGTGCTTAGGAAATATCCCTAGAAACCGTGCGAGGATCGGACGTGGTGCAAGTGGTGTAATATTTGTGTTTACCCCCACCGCAGCACGTCTCGTTGCTCTATGTTCGTTTGCCTCGTAAGTATTCCACTGTCTGGCCGTCGAGTCGCGAAGCAACGAAAATAAGAAGCGGTCGCACAGAACGTCGCATCGGCGAGCGTGTACGTAGTTGCACATCCGCGTCTCGCGTGCGCGTTCGCTTCTGAATGAGTCTCGGCGTCGATCAAGTGCTTGAGCGAAGGATTACGCGTAGTGCATCCTGTCCGTTGATATCGGCAGTGGCTGGTGGTGCGACGATGTCGAACAGTGAGCGATGACACGCCCGTGAAAAAGGAACGATAACAACGACCCGATTGATCACAGAGAGAACGCAGTAGCGCGTACGCGAAACGAACCCCCTTCTCAGTGCATTCAGTGTGACATTACGATTGAACGAAGAAACATGCTACAACCGAGAGCCGCGAGCGTCGGACGGTAAAGGTGAGTGACGAGTAGAATATTTTCGTGAATCGAACGGACGTCCAAGTGCCGCCGGGACTTTGACAGCTCGTTTGTTTTCATTCGACTCGCTGCGTTACTAGCAACCCTTTCCGCGGTGGAACGACTGCTTCGGAACTCGTACGATCGCAAACAATGCCGTGCGCGGTAACATAATAGCTAATCCGTATCACCACTGAATATTTACGATACATCCTCGCCTGAACCTGATGCGCATATCGCAGTCCTGTGCTCCAAATTTTCCTTCCCGGCTTCTGCCTCTTCCTCTCGTTTCGTTCAGTCAGTATTTATTAGTTTACAAACGGAGCTTTTCATGAAAACTTACCGTATTTACATACGCGGTTTCATATTCCCGTTAGATTCTTGGTTTATATAATAACTGTATTATAGCGAATTCGATGCCATTCGTATCAAGAGTCTCTTTGTTTATCTTGCATTAGACCGATTGCTGGAACTCCGAAATTTTCCGTGCAGATCTTATCGATTTTGCATGATGCATGCTTCCGCTCGACGAAAACGTGAATCGTCACTGTTAATTAACGAAGATGACCTTGACCACTCCAAGATTTATTTAGCATTATTAAAACGCGACTGGCCGAAGAATGAATAGTTTTCGTTGTAAATGGTTTCATGTTCTTTCCACGTAACGTGTTCGTCATAGTTCGGCGGCGATGCCGATGGTCCATTTATGATAATTAGAATGAATCATCGGTTAAAGGAATGGGTTAAAGGTGATAGAATGTGAAAGAAGTAATCAATTCCGTCTACGAGACATCGCGTTAACAGCACAATGGTTTTCGTTAAATGATTTTTTATTGCGTTCAAGTAACTCTTATCTAATGACATTGTCCAATTGAACGCGCGACGGGTTATACATTTTAATGGTTAAACGCAATTATATTCGATAACAGCGTCCCTGTTTTTATAAAAGTAGATCAGAGGACTCGACGCGAATATTAATTAGACGTGATCCGTGACGATACTGGTAACATGTTTTACTATGATGAAAAACTATATCACTCACGATGTTTCCTATGAACTATTTTTGGACAGCGCGCATAATCCACTGTACAAGATTTAGATTAGATAATATCGCTCTTAGAGAAAATTGTAGCTCAAAATAGGCGTATAGGGGCCAAGTAAAGTGGAACTGGCCTCTGATGTATTCATTCATTTGTTTCGAACGTCAACATTTCACTAATTTCGAGTCATACACAAAATTCCACAAATATTTGCATTTTGTTAACTCGAAATCTCGTTACAATCAATTATAATTATTTCATTGTAAATAATCAGATTGCATAACTACGTCTTTCCGAAGAAATCGTATGACTACTTTTAATTGATAAATAAATAGGTTCGTACTGAGATAAGAGTTGATAACGAGAACACGTTACATCCGTATGATTAATGATAATAATAATATTACAATGAATAATGCTTTGCATTCTTCAAAAGGAATGTTACACATAACTCTTTATACACTGTATCTGTTGCGAACAGTGGCTAGTTCATGACTCGTAGCTTAGCAGTCACCAATTAAATAATAGCTGTTACTGAATGAGAGACATAATCAATTGTATGTATATACGCTTATCGATACGGGAAATATCTAATTGTACATCGTTCCTGTTAAATTTTATTGTTGTAACAATGTGAAACCAGCCGGGTGATGGTTCTTGTTTTTTCAGGAAAAAGGAATGGCTAGTTTGATGGTGACCACATCTAACAAGAACAGTTCACGTACTTCATCCCCCAACAGAGGAAACACAGTGACGTCGCCGCAACAATTGTCAGCTTTGGAGAATACTCCAAGAGCACGTAATGCTTCATTGTAAGCATCAATTTATCTCTTCTCGACGTACGTAAGTTGATGGAAGGAGTGCTGACGAATTTTCGTTTGTTTGCACAGTTCCCAACCAGGGGAGGGTAGTACAGGCAGTGGAAGTAGTGGTGGTGGAGGCAGCCTCAGTATGAAAGGTAGTAGGCAAAAATCACCAGGAACTGTGATCCGAGTAGATGTTATGGATGAACCAAATACCAATCTAATCACTGCCGAACAAGACGAGTTTGTGCCAAACATTCATCTACCGACCGACGACGAAGGAGTACGTAGCAATTCATTCTGTGTACATGCTTATGCCTACTCATTTATTTCTTAAGTGATGTTACAAAAACTGAATCTTATCACGTATTTAGTACCATAATAAATTACGATTGTATATGCTTACATAAAGTTACTTATGTAATAACGGCGATGTTGTGCATGCAATGACAATTACACTGCAGCACAAGGCTACCGACTGTAACTGTATGATCAGGGTTATAGGTCACGAAATGAGGTAGTCATTTGCATAAGTGGCTTCGAAGCTAAGGCATCTTAATCTTAATAAATCCCGATTGCAATCAAAGTACTAGTTATTGAGCACACTGCTCAAGAAAATGTGTTCCGTTATTCGCAGTATCAGGTCTCTCGGCATTGATGTAATAATCCGTGGATTAACATGATCATAAATTTCTTTTCAGGAACAGTATCATGCAACACAATCGTTCCTATCAAACGGATCCTCCGAACTAATAACCGATGACGTCGATTCCAGTTCTGCTCGCGTTAGTCAAGCCATCGAGCATATCCAAAATAAAATCGCGAAAACGCGAGAGCTTATAAGAATAGAACAAACTACGCGCGATGGTAAGTGTTTCAGTTACATCGATTAACAGTAATTAGTGTAGCACCGATAGTCTCAAGTGCTAGACTGCTGAATTAGTGCGATAAACGACGACCGTCGGATAGTTTACACTTGCATGTAACTCGTCGATATTTGATCACGTTTCAGAGAATGTGAACGAATATTTAAAACTAGCTGCGAACGCAGACAAGCAGCAGCTCACTCGGATCAAGGCAGTGTTTGAAAAGAAAAATCAAAAGTCAGCGCACATCATTTCCCAGTTACAGAAGAAGTTGGATAGTTACACGAAGAAGTTAAAGAATTACGAATTAAATGGAGCACCGACGAGTCACAGGCAACCCAGGGAAGTCCTTCGGGACATGGGACAAGGACTCAAGTATGTTTTATTATTGTACTATTTTCTGTATTAGCATAAGTCAAGAAATATTAAATGAAAGTACGTGTGTAGTCAGTGTACAAATATAGGCTCGGATAGTACGTAGTTCATTTATTTAATTACTGATTTATGTAGAAGCTGACTTACTTATTGCGTATATGATAAATGATTGTCGGTGTCCTGCTTCCCTTTGCTAAATATAAAGCATGATACTTTTGTCTAATTTAAGCCTTACTTACAGAAACGTGGGTGGCAATATTAAAGTTGGAATCAGTGGTTTTTCAGGGTGAGTCTCGAAATAGATACAATAGCTTATATATTATTGCTGTATAAATTTTGCGAAATAGATATTGAGTGAATATAGTCGCAATGTTCAGTAGCTTTTTATATCAATTTATTATTTAAAAGAAAATACATCTTTGATATGTGTGATACATCTGTTGATATTCAATTGTACTTCTAATGTTTCAGAACTGTGATGTCTAAGCCAAGAGAGTTTGCACATTTGATAAAGAACAAGTTTGGCAGTGCTGATAATATAAACACCTTATCCCGTGAGTAAATCTCTATTTGAAATTCTTTAATTGATTAAAGTAAATCAGTTGAAATCTAATCGTATAATTTTCAAATAATATTCTGTTGAAGTATTTGTGTTCAAAGGGCACTTACACTGAGCACACTTTGCTTCATGCTAATAAACTGATACTTCAAGCAATAGTATGCACGTTATTTTCGTTTTTATAATACGTTTATATGTATGTAAATACACTATCAGAATCGTTACAATTTTTCTTAAATATAAATTCTGCATTGTATCTGAAATAATATAAAAAGATCTATGATAATTCCAAATGTACCTTAGTAATAGTACAATACTTCCCCACGAAAACACCGAAGAATAAACATTGTTTAATATTTTGCGCTGTCATGGCAGTTGAAAGTAGTAAGTAAAATTTTGTCTAATTTCTTCTCTTATCTGTGTACAATTCTTTCCTTAGTATGTATATGTGTAGCACGTATCCCCCAAGTTTCACAATACGAAGATTGACACAATTTTTTACACTGTTACCGTCTATGAGAGGAATATTAATTTCATTTACACGAGAATCTTTGTCTAATGTCACTTAATAATTTTTTCTTGCAACACCTAGTCGCTTTCACGTATCCAGATCGTTGCTTCTTTTAATATTAGTTATCCAATACAACAGTCGTAAATTTACAATCACTCTGAAAGGACAGATATCGTAGAGGAAGAAAACAACTTTACTAAACTGACACACGAATCACACAGTTACATGCGACGAGAATTAAAATGTGAATGAATCGGTATTAGAAAAGACGGGAGTATATGCTAAACTGTTTAAAGGCAGGACAATCTGGTATTGGATAACATTCTAACATGCGACGTCTGTGTCTCTGCAGATGGCTCGACTTTTTATGTAAACGATACACCGCGTGCAGGTAATGGAGATAACGCTAGTGTTGAAGATGAGAAGGCGCATCACGGTTCGGCGACGCTTCCCGGTGGATGCAGTCTGGGATCGACACATAGCGCAGCGGCGATGAAATTTCCATCAGAGGAGGGCTCGGAATGCTCGAGCGTCACAAGCGAGAGCGGACCCGGTAGCAAGGGCCAAGCGCACGCGTGTCATAGTAGTAACGACGCGGCGCTTAGTCTGAAATCTATCTTCTCGGAGTTGCAAGAGCAGAGAGAAAGCATGGAGAGGATGAAGGACAAATTAGAAGGTGTAAAGGTTCGTGATAATCGTCAGGTGAAAAATACGGTGGAGCGTGACACTGATTTGTTACATCTTTGATCTCAGAGTTTGCAACAAGAAGTGACATATCTTTCTCACGCATTGCAAGAGGAACGTTTCCGATGCGAGCGTCTAGAGGAGCAGATCAACGATCTGACCGAATTACACCAAAACGAAGTAGAGAATTTGAAGCAAACGATAACGGATATGGAGGAGAAAGTGCAATATCAGAGCGAGGACCGCTTGAGGGACATACACGAAATGTTGGAGAGTTGTCAAACGAAAATTTGTAAAATGGAACATCAGCAGCAGCAGCACCAGCAGTACGTCACCCTGGAGGGTTTGGATAACAGCAACGCGAGAGCGTTGGTGGTTAAGCTCATAAACGTAGTGTTAACTGTGTTGCAAGTAGTTCTACTACTAGTTGCAACGGGTGCTGGTATTATGATGCCTTTCCTTAGGACCAGGTACAGTTCTCTTCGTAATATTATTACCAAATCTTTGATCGATCACGAGATAACTCGTGTTTGGACTCGTATCAATTAAAATAATCGCCGATGAGATAGCTTCTACGTAAAATTGCCGAGCGAACGCTAACTTATATTTGACTTTTACAGGGGGAAATTAATTTGTTCTCTAATAAATATAATTCTTATTCATCGCTTCTTAATTCGTTCCTTATTCACGTACATACTCGTTTCATACTTCGAATCACTTACATTCATCGCCATCAAGTTTTAATTTCGGCACGCTCATTGTTTTATTTTGTTCTCACGTGTCTGTTGCAGCTGTACTAAGCCTCATTGTTTCATGTGCAGGGTGCGCATATTAACTACCACGCTTGTCGTACTGGGCATAATATTTGTGGCCAAACAGTGGCCCGAGGTCCACGATGTCGGCAGTCACATCATGCGCCATATTAAACAGACGCTCGCCGTTAAGTAGCATCGTAAGTAAATTTTTATTTTCCATAACATATCGTGAAAATCCGATGACCAAACGATTGGCAAGAACGACTTGTTGTAGGGTGGTATACTTAAATTTACCATACCCTGTGATGAAGAAAAAAAAAAATTGTACACAATGATCAACATTTTGGACCCATTTATCAGTGCTGTAGTTTTGGAGCAATAATAGTAGGTATACGCGCAAACGACTTTGTTTCTATTTCAAATCCGATCACGTTCACCGTTACGCCATTCGATTAAGCGAACGGTTTAAATATGTATATTTGATATGTGTTAAAAGGAATTAGACGATATGCAAAAGAGAGAACGTATTTTCCTGTGAAAATGGTGTTTCACCTAAGAGAGATAAATGAGAAAGTGTCTTGTCCCTTATTGTTATAAATTTATTTACCTTTTTTTTATTTTTACTCGATTGATTTTATTGAAAACGGACTAGGTACGCGTTCGGTAATTTATAGCGTGCGAATGATACGCGAGATGAGGATAATTCTATAATTTGTAACAAAATAAAATAACTTGTACAATACGTGAACGAGATAGTGAGTAATAATTGTAAACGCTGTACGCTGATATTGCTTGATCACATACGGCACGTTGCTAGAAGAAAATTTATTCTGACATCACGCGATTACGTTCACTTTTATACGAATAACTGATTATAACCGTGGAATTAGAAGAAAAATTATTGAAGAAGCGAAAGTACTGATTAAAAAAAAAGATAGAAACGATGGGTAGAAAATTGTTCCATCGTCGGTGTCTGTGGGGGGTGTCACTACCACCTATTTTCAGGTATCGTAGCTCGTACGTTTGATATTCGAATAGGTCCGTGTAATTTTGTCGACTACGCGTTTCTAAGTAAAAATATTTATAATTGCAATCGTCCAGTTGCTAAAACAATAAATATAAAGTAAGAAGAGAACACGTAAGTGAATGTAGATATTCCTCGATTCGAGATGTATATTGTAGCGTGATATATCGTTAGTAGAAAAACCGCAGCGTCACTAGAAATTCTTAAAAGTGTAATTTAAAGAACTGCACATTCATGAGAAACGGAACAAATATTTGTACATTGAGCGATATCGCAAGAGGACCAACGTGCTCTTTTCCTCTTAACTCTATTCGACTTCTAATCTATTTCATAAAAGAATGATTCTTATATGGATGATAATCGGCTATTTAATATCAATCTCTTCAATCTCATGAATGTTCGAAACCACCACAGACACGAGAGTGCGTACATATTATATCGATTAACGAAGAAATGAACCATGACAGATATTGATATGAGAGAAAGACTGACGGACTACATCGCTGTTACAATTGTGAGTAATTTAATATTTGTGGCAATTTTCCGTTGCTGAATCACGCATTGAGAAAAACCGTTCGGAAACAGTTAAAACGGTGTACAAGAGGAATACAACGTTGCGACGATAATTATAAAATTAATGCAGTTACGTGGAGATAAATGATTCTTAAATATAGGTGCTCAAATTCTCGAGTGTGTAATGTATTTTTGGTCCGTATCATTTTTTTTCAATCTCACCGCCGTGGGCGAAATGTTCATCTGTCCTTTTTTTTTTAATTTATAGCAGTTAATGGAAGCACTGTTACAGCTCACCAAGCAATTTTATGACATACAGAGAAAGATATACTTTTCCAGTGATCACTGATATTTTTTTTGTATCGTTTACTACGTAAAAATCCTCTTTAGATTTTATAAAGATATTATTTCTAATTTATGTACATTAAGTTAAATATAATTTTTGTTATTTGTATATGTTGAATTATAGTTAAAGTTTCGTTCACGTTAGAAAATCATTTCGTGTCGACGTAAATAAAATGAATTTTGTGTAGCAATGTATTTCGTTTTCTTGTGCCTGTTACTCGTGTGAATACAATATCAAATTTCCTAATTTTTCTTTTCAAATCGACCCCGAATCTTTTGATAACTGTCCTCTGTATTTATTAAAGCTAATCATTTTTTGTACTTTTTGTACACGCGTTTAATGCTGCCAAAAATAGAAGAGTCGAGTCTGTGACAAGATCAAAACGAAAAAAAAGAATAACCAGAAGGAAGTTTGATCGTGTGTTTATAACTCCGAGACAGGCGAACGTTTTGTCATTTGAACAGACCGCGTATATTTTTTTACTTTCGACTTTCTTTACAACTGTATTACAAAAAGAAGAGAAGTTTGTTCAATTAAATTTATTGACAATTCAAATAACGTTTCCTTCGAATATATCGATCCTCTTGCGTTCCTAATGAAACAGTCGGTTTTTATGTCTATAAATTTATATATAAATACGTCGCTGTGACTATACTAAGTTTATATATATATGTATACATAAGAAGCGTAGAAGTTAAAAATCAGTTTTGGGATCAATATAATTGTATATAAAAGAAATTTTCGAGCAAGAAACTCGACGTCTGTATACGCGCGCTGTATATGTTTAAAGCTACGAGAACGAGAGAAACTACGCCTCTAAGAACACAGAGATATACACGTTTGTTGATTAATTCCACTGGATTCAATGTTATATTGATTCTGCAAAAAGATTTCTAATTTTAACGTTGTTTAAATCAAATCTCGAATAAAGATGTATGCTTATTATTGTGTAAGCGACGACTAGACAAAATATATAGGGTGTTCAACGATGCGCTTGTACGTTTAATTATACTGTTTAGATAATATGGCAAGCTGTATAAATTTAATTTTAAGATCGATAGTTATATCCACTGCTGATTATTAGTATTCATGTTCTACAATAAAAATTATATTTCTCTAAGCGAGTGATTTAAGAAACATACAGTAATTATTGCACCGTTGCATATTTTTCTAATATGCAACAGTTGTACCGAGTCCCTTGAGGATTAAGTAAAACGACACCCTATATGTATTGTACAGCTTTAAATCGTGGTGCTTTGTAAGATACACGTGTAATCCAATTATTAGAAAATTTGTTAACACCGTTGACCACTGATTTAGCGAGGGCCCCGATTCGCACGCTTAAACGCAAATACTCGATCGTAGCAAGGGAAGAGAAGCGAATAGAATAAAGAGACAAATTAAAAAAGACGTTTATACGAAAGAGTAAGAAAGAAATTACACGTACACTTATACATGATACCATGGGACAACGATATGGACGTATTTCGTATCATACGAAGTTACATTTTTCTATATGAGTTTTCCGTTTTTATCGCGGCTGTTTACAATTTTATATGTATTTTCTATTGAAAAAGCTCGGACATGGATACGCGAAGGGCAGTGCTTAAAGGATCATCAGTTGCGGAAGAAAGTTGTTCCCGGAATTCTGTAATCTTCACACGATGACTTACCCACGATTCTAGGGGCCCCTCCTCCTGTATGCATAGTTATAGCGTAACGAAATGAAGACAAAACGAGATCTTGTCGTCGATGCCTTGCATAGGTAGTAAATGTCAAATTATAGATGAAATATTTGTTGTCAATTGTAGGACGATGTAGGCAATTAAAGGCAATATGAGCAGCGACTGTAATGGAAATTGTTAGCACGCTAGACACACATACACACGTGCATACCGTAGATACCGCGCGAAGCGTGGACCGCGACCCGTGACGCGAAACCACATGAGTGTACGTATGTAATAGCTGCATAACAAATCAGTATAATGATGTAGTTAAAAAGAAACCGACAAAAAAAAATCTAGTTTATGTTCACGAAACAAGAAATATGCGCGAATTATGTTATCGCTGCGAAAATGAACAGTTTCACGCCAAATATCAGTTTAGCAGCCGTCATTATTATTTAATACCGTTTCAAAATAAAATGAATTTTTAATAAGCCCGATTATCTTTTTCCGCTTGCTAATTCAGCTTCGTACCTGCTAGTCACCTTAGAGAAGAAACTAATTTATTATCTCTTAAACAGAATGAGCATTTACATATAAAGAAAAGACGATCGGGTTGTAAAGTTTTTTTATATTTTTTTACCGAGCTGTTTATCGGTGATATTACAATCATCACAAATTTACAAATTCGTTATATATATATATATATATATATCACAATTTCTACTGTGTGTAGTGCTGAAAGCTGTTTTCTTTTAAAGTTGAGATGCCACAGAAGAATGCATTGTCAAAGGTGATTACAAAGGTAGCTATATACTCTCTTTTATTACGTTAAAAACAGTATATCATCGGCGAGATATATAATCACTATCGCTCTGTATTACACTTCCTTGCAGTAAAAGTAGCTATCAGCCTTCATTTGTTAAATAATATTTGAACGTCTCGCTAGCATTGATAAGAAAATATTTCGCTCTCCTCACGACAATCATGGTATTCGTATTATACATAGATAAATATGTAGGTGTTCCATCCTCTCAAATTCTCGTTCATAATTACAACTTTTAACGCGCATAACATGTAAAGTGTATATTTTCATGTGATCCGTAAAACGAGTTACGTTTTTAATATTCTAAGCAAGCTTTAAAAATAAATTATCCGCTTTTAAAATCCAGTCCTCTTGGTTCGGATGTAATTATTGTTTAATTTGAGCTTTTTTTAAATGATCATAGACATCTATCGGAGTTTAAAAAACTATATAATATATATAATATACATATAGGCAATAAGTTTACTAAAGTTTTAAAACAATCTGCTCTGCACAGGTCGGCGAAGAAATTTATTAATGAAAGAAGCTTGAAAGTATTTATTTCCTCCCTAACTAAGAATTGACTAACTATCAGTTAACCGTATCGATTTTCAAAATAGGAGAAACTTTAAATATGAGTTATAAATAAAAAAAGTAAAATCACTTCGGTAAAGTATTTATACCGATATAAGAAAGAAAAAGATAATTTAAGTGACTGTTCAATTTCACGTTACTCGTTAGGTGCGAATCGCTTTAGAAAACATCGTTACCCCTTTGCTAAGAATCCTCGAAAATATATTCTTTGTATACAATTTCTTAACGTACGCTACAGTAAAGGAATACATCGTGGTGACTAACGTCTTCTTACAAAATGCAGGCTTGATATTCTTCTATCCTCTATCATGCGTTGCTTTTGATCGTGCGCTTCAATCCGCGTTTGTCTGGACTCTGTCCTGGGTATCCCGAAGTGCGATTTCGTTTTTTGTTTCGCCTTGCCGAGGAACAGATTCTTCCTTCTGTGTGGGCGCTGCGCCGTGATGCTTCTTCTTGTGGCACATCATCGTCGACCGCGATACGAACGTTTTCCCACAAGCGTCGCATTCGTACGGTCTCTCGCCTGTGTGCAATCTTTTATGAATCGCCATCGGGGTGAACTGCGTGAACGTTTTGCCGCACACGTCGCATCTGTAAGGCCGTTCACCGGTGTGTAACCTTCTGTGACACCTCAAAGCCGCTCTTCGAGCGAATACCTTGCCGCACATGTCGCATTTAAAACTTTTCTCGCCGGTGTGCATCGTCGAGTGAATTTTCAGATCGACGCGCGTTACAAATCCTTTGCCGCAAACCTCGCACAAATACGGTTTCTCGCCGGTGTGAATGCGCAGATGTGTGTTCAGATAACTCTTACTGACGAACATCTTGTTGCACACTACGCAGGGATACTGACGGTTGTCCATGCCCGAGTGTATCTTCTGATGACTCTTGCAAAGTCCCTTAGTTATGAAACCTCGGCCACAGATCTCGCAGACGTAGGGTTTCACGCCTAAATGCCTATTCTGATGGTCCAGCAGCGACTGTTTCGTTTTGAAGTGTTGCCCGCAAGTGTTGCAAGGAAACGGCTTTAGATCCGAGTGTACTCTTTGGTGAAGAACGAGATAACTTTTCGACTGGAAACCTTTACCGCACGTAGAGCAATTGTAATCGAATTGTCCGGTGTGCGTGGCCGAGTGCTGTGCGAGTCCGATTTTACTACGAAACGCTTTGTCACAGGTCACACACTGAAAAGGCTTTTCACCGGTATGTTTACGCATGTGCTCTTGCAGTTTATAATTCGTTCTGTACTGCTTCCCGCAATGAGTGCAAACTTTCGGGGTCCACTTCTGTCTCACCGCCGTTTGCTTTTTCTCCTCTATATTCGCGTCATTCTCAGGAGTCAATTCCGATTCCATTACCTCCTTTTCTTTATTTATCGTTTTATCTTTCTCCGCGTCGCATCTTTCTTTATGTACACTTAACGCGTCTACGCTTGTAAAATATAAACCGCAAGGACAGCAACAGAAATATTGTTCGTAATGTGTTATCATATTGCTCGAACCTAGTATTGCCTCGTTGCAAAACGGACACACGTACCAGTGCGATCCGGTTTCATCGATTGTAGGATTATTTAACGTGCTCTCTAATAACGCGTGTTTCGTTCTTTTCGTGTATTCTACTAAAATCTCGGCATTCCCTGTTGTCACTTGACTCGTCGATGCCATCGTATTTGTTCGAACAGCGTGTCTCGAGGCTTCGTTCTTGATCACGTGTGTTTCTTCTATATCGCTTCCAGTCTCTGGTTGTGCAGTTCCAAAACTCTCATGTGGCACCTACGTAGAAAGTGATCGATTAATCAAAATTTATAAAAACACCGGGTATGTTAACTTACATTATTTTCAAGTACACTTAAAGAATCCTTAGCAGTTAATCTCTCCTGCAGTCTGTGATACTCTTCTTCTTTTATTGGTACAGACTCGTACTTGACACTGTCACAGTAATGTACGATTGGCTCTCTGTTCTGATCTTCAGGACTTATGGAAGTAACATAATTTATTCCTAACTGACTTAAATGACTGCTGACCGTCAAATTCCCAACGACGGTCATGTCGCCTTCCAAGTGCATTGCTATTTGATGATTAGATACCTGTTATCGGAAGATTCACTTACAGTAACGTACAGACGTTTCAAAACGAATTGTACTGGTAACATTGGTAGTAACACGGTACAATTTATTTGAAAAACAAGGATCGTTTGTCGATTTACCCCCCGTATATGTTCGTCCACCATTCTGACAGTGTCTCCGTCCAAACAATCAATACCAGTGACTTCAATATCTGTGTCCTGTTGGCCCATTTCTTCCTGGGTGACAACCTGTTCACCACCAGCTAGATCCATTTCATCCATGACCTGCATCGTGTGTATAGTAGTCTCTCCCGTGTCTCCCGAAGTCACACGATTCTGTGCATCTTCAATATCACTTTGTATTCTATCGATATTCCTTTGGATCCTGTTTATTTCTTCTGCTTCTTCTAAATCCCGTTTAGATATATGAACGACGTCATCCTTAGAAAATTCTTTCAACATTTCCATGAACAGCCCCTCAGTGAGTAAACACTTTTCACGAAAATCGAACAACTGGTCTAACTTGTACGCGCACTCTTCGCACACCACTTTCGGCAATTGATCGGTCATAGATACCTAAAAATAATTCATTGTTAACATTAGAAAATTGTTGTTTACTGGATTTCTAACAGAATTCTACGTTTGTAACGAGTGCGTGGCCAGATCAATGTTGCGGGAGGATAGTGGAACCTTGCACCAATTTTCTTCCTCTATTTATAGTCAAATTAGAAAAGAGGGGGCGAAGACGGAGTCGGAGGAGATCGCAGTGAAATCAGACCTCCCGTGCACGATTTTACCTGGACTGGCAAGCACGCGGCTATCTTCTTGTCAATGTTGCGCATCTGATCGCCGGCTTCGAAGATCGGCAATCCCATCAGTATGCCAGTTTTCGTCGCGCATAGACGGCATAGATAATCGAATTCCTTGACGACAGCCATATCAATTGAGAGGATCGTCTTCCCAGAACAGATGAGCTAAACGGACCGATTCTGCTTCTTCAAGAGATCCAACGGGAGAGTTGGTTCACGCGATCGAGAGAACTCGTGTCACGCATCACGATGATAATTCGCGATTCGCTTTATGCGAATGTACAGTCTTAAGTTTTATCCTCGCATTTACCCGGTAATATTTGACAAGCGAGCCTGGCTGCGTTCACACCATCGGCCTTTTACATACGGTCAGTCCGCCTGGCTGGCATCCGTAGCGGGGCAATTATTTAGCTTACACTGCTCTCTTTTCATCTTAAAAGAGCTTCTCTTCTCGCAGGGGGCGTCCTAAACGCGTTTCTCATGTTTCTCATCCACTGTGCAGATTATAGAAAACAAATAGAAAATTAAATATTTGCATAGACGATTAGATTTTCACTGTGGAATCGTCGGATTTTCTATAAAATGAATGCATTTTTCATGCTCTTCGTTGCATTCACGCTCGCTGAATTAAATGAGTAATTATCTACTTGACGCTTAATTTTTTGGACCTTTTATTTATGAATTATACACTCTTCGAACTATAACAATCTTTTCAAAAATCATAAATTAATGAAATAAGTCTACACAATTTTGAAAATATACTTTGAGGCTTAGAGTAAAATATCTTACTACTGAAAATGGCGACATTGGCTACAGATAAACAGGAGAACCTCCAAAAACGAAAATTGGCAATACAAGAAAATGATTCTGAGGAAGAAAGCTCCAGTGAGTATTTGAAAATCGTATTTATTGATCATTTTATTAATTTCTTACATTCATTCTAAAGTTAATACAATATTAACAGTTTGTTTAAATGCTTGTATCTTGAGGTTAACATTCACTGTTTTCATCCTGATTACTATTATTATACTCTATTTTAAATGAACTTATATATTACATTAGAATCTACACATTTAATTACAACACAAGCTTCATTTATTTTATAAATATCTCTCGTCTTTTTAAAAACAATTTACTGATCCGTGAGTTGGTTGAGTCAACCGAATTCTTGATTATAGGGAATGTTAAAATTGCCAAAACAGGAACAGATGCACCACGACTGTGTCCTTATTTGGACACAATAAATCGACAGTTTTTAGATTTCGATTTCGAGAAATTATGCTCAGTGTCATTGTCTAGAATCAATGTGTATGCCTGCCTCGTGTGTGGCAAGTATTTCCAAGGCAGAGGCACGAACACTCATGCATATACACACAGCGTTGCTGAAAGCCATCACGTTTTTCTTAATCTTCATACTTTGAAATTTTATTGCCTGCCTGACAATTACGAAATTATTGGTAAGCAAATAATCGTAATATTTCTGTATGTTCGATATTTCATAATAAATACATTGTCACTCAGATTCCTCATTGGATGACATAAAGTATGTTTTAAATCCGACGTTTGACAAAGCCCAAATTGGCCAACTAGATAAAAGTGATAAATTATCGAGAGCAATAGATGGCTCGTTATATTCACCTGGGATCGTTGGGATGAACAATATCAAAGCAAATGATTATTGTAACGTTATTTTACAAGTAAGTTATACTTTTCCTGTTCTGTTTTAGGATAGATAGTTACAAGTTTAACATTTCAGGCATTGTCTCATGTTACACCTTTGAGAGACTTCTTCTTAAGAGAGTCTAATTATGCTCATGTGAAAAGGCCACCTGGAGATTCTTCTTATCTTTTGGTTCAAAGGTTTGGAGAACTAATGAGAAAGCTGTGGAATCCACGTAATTTTAAAGCTCACGTCAGCCCACATGAGATGCTACAGGCTGTCGTCTTATGGAGTAAAAAGAGATTCCAATTTACCGAGCAAGGTATAAAATACACGACAATCTACCGATGATTACGATAATTTTATATGTACAAATCAAATTTGCAGGCGACCCAATCGACTTCCTTTCATGGTTTTTGAATGCCCTGCACTTGGCACTGAACGGTACAAAGAAACGTGATTCTAGTATAGTGTACAAAACGTTTTTGGGTCACATGCGTATATACACGAGAAAAATTCCGCCGCTTGAACTGGACGAAAGTCAAAGGAGCGAACTACTTCATACTGTAGAATATGGAGAAACCGTGACAGAAAGTCCATTTTTATATCTGACGTGCGATCTCCCACCTCCGCCACTTTTCAAAGATCAATTCACGGAGAATATCATTCCCCAAGTGAGTAACAAACTACGAATTTCGACTGTAGCAAAAATGATAGAATGTGCATCTCTTTAGGTAAACTTATACACGTTGTTAAACAAGTTTAACGCTGTAACGGAGAAAGAGTACAAAACGTACAAAGAGAATTTCATGAAAAGATTCGAGATCACAGAACTTCCTCCTTATCTAATACTTTACATCAAAGTGAGTACGTGATTACGTTGATATTAGAAAATTATCAGAGCGATTGAATATGCTGTTTTTAATTGCAGAGATTTACGAAGAATACGTTTTTCGTAGAAAAGAATCCCACCATAGTCAATTTCCCAGTTAAGTAAGATACTTTTCGTAACATTATTTTATTAGCATCTGTACGATTTTCTGTATTAATTATTTACGGATTTTAGAAATGTAGATTTTGGAGATATCTTGACACCTGAAGTGAAACAAAGGCATCCGTGTACGACGTACGATTTAGTTGCGAATATTGTTCACGACGGTGAGCCTGGCCAAGGAACGTACAGAGTTCATATTTTACATAGGGCAACCGGTCAATGGTACGAATTACAGGATTTACATGTAACTCAAATTTTACCTCAGATGATCACATTAACCGAAGCATACATACAGGTATTAAAAATATAATCAATTAAGATTCTTAGGTTTTAAATATAATGAATATTTTTGTTTCACAGATTTACGAATTAAAGAAAGACATGCCTACGGAGAACGGTGATAATAAAATTAAAAGAGCAATATGATAAATGTAATTTTCTAAATAAAGTATTGCAATTTTTCACTTTAACTTTCGCCTCAATTTATTTCCTAATGAATACATAGTAATACGAAATAAAACAAAATAAAACATACCTTGCATCTCATGTTCTCGTATGACCAAATCTCTAAATCGTTTCGAATAAGAGAAGATAGAAATAGTTTAGAATTTTTATTGTTTAACCTACGCCGATCGGGTCGAAACTTACCGAAGATTGCCGAAGAGATCGGAAGTATGAACTGGAAGTAGAAATCGTGGTAGGGACGTACAGTAGGCACGATAGAGGGGGTGGGATCGGATTGTCGCGCCGAAGCGGAGGCGAGAGGCGAACCAACCGGAGTAGAGTCACAGCCGGCTACGCGAGACGATCTCGAATTGAACGCGTCTCTTTTCCACGGATACGCGTATTTTACATCGTAAGTGTCTATTCGTCCTTCGCATACTATCTTTTTTGTACATAAATCGAGATAACGCGTTTTATATCGTTTATCGTGTTCGCGTACGCGCTAGTGTCGACGAACGCACCCCCGCGCGTTTTTTTTATTTTCGCGAGTGTTTCTCGTACTGTGCGTTACTTGTGTACTTCAGTGGGTTCCCTGCACGTGGATAAATACTATCACCTGTAGGATCGACGCCTCGATTTTAACGTGAGTACTCTGTTCAGTTTGCAAACTATTTGACAAACTTTGTCCGCGCGTTCGGAATGGAGTCACGCGAGTTTGCACATGGTTCGTCGTTTCGCGGATGCGAAGTCTACCTTGGAAATCCTCAAAAATCTTGGCTACCTGTTCGCGGTAACGGTTCTATCTCGCGTGAAAGGCCGACGGAGAATCCCTATCTCTTTTAATTCTCGCGTAACATTCTCGCGACGAGGATTCTCACCGAAATTCCACTACTAATTCGTCGCGGTTTATTCTCGTACGTCCCGCGGTAATTTCGGTTTGCGTCAATGTCTGCTCCCTTCCATACCGCTCCGAATACCTGTTCCATGCTAACCGTCGAAAAACAACTGTCTGATTGTATGGCGGAGGAACCTGTACGTATACATATTAAAACCGGAGAGGTACTACGTTGACTCTCAAGGGAACTGCGAGTTTCGGGTTTATAGCTTGATAGTTAACATTGCATCGTGAAATTCGAACCAGTTTCGACAGGTGATTTCCATGACAGGTCGGTCGGTGAATTAACGCACTCGCGACAGTAAAACGTACAATTTCCTCACAGAACGCTTAGTTCTTTCATAAGTGTTAATAAATCACGTCTTGAATAACACGTGTAACACGTAGTACAAATATGAGTAGCAGTAAAAGGATACTACAAGTGAGATATGATCAGAATTTATAAAACATCGGTATCTATTACGTTTACGTTTTGGTCACTGGCAAGGTCGTCATCTTGTACGGGAGTTTTTTTTTAAAAACGTAAATAATCGTAGTAGTTACGAGGCGTAGTAAACAATCATATGGTTTCACTGGTGAATCGAAGGGATGGATGTTATTCTCGAGTCAGCGACATGCCTGTGGAATGTTTTTAGACGTGGGTGGCGTATTAAGCAGAGATGTACATATATATAATTTTGTATGTACATCCTTTAAGGCTGTTTTCGCGTTTTAAGCATTTTGCGCACAATGAGATCTGTTGACTAAAGGTATATATTATTTATTATGCACTTAAATGTAATATATTATATTGTTAAGCCTTTATTCGTATTTTTCTTTAATTCAGTCGTAATTCCGATATTTCTTGCTTAGAATAATTCAATAAATGAAGAGCATTTTCTAGCTTCCTAAATTCTATTCATAATCCATTGTTTTTGCAGACATAACTCATGGGCCAGCTTGAGTGAATACCTATCTGATCTTTTGAACATTAGCACCGTACAATGAGAGATATCGTTAGGCTTGAAGTGCACATACCTCGTTTCGAAGTCTCATCCCGTACACTCTTTAGAATCTCGCACACGTAGGGAAAGAACTCGTTAGTTTCTCCCTGTATCTTTTTCTGTTCATAACTCCACCGCCGTGCTCCCATACACGCAAGAACGTGTCAAGGATGAAGATCGCAGTTCCATACATCAGAATCATCCTTGAGGCATTTAAACGTCGATTGAGTATACGGTAACTCGCTTCCGTCGAAGCGATTCGGATATTATTCACAACCGTAACACACCTACTTCATTCTCCTCGCTCCATATACAGTTTATTGGTTTTCAATGACTGCTGACTGTTGTCTGATCTCTCGTCCCGGAGACATGCTATTTTTTTCGCGTATGTTCACCGAAAACGCATGATTCATTCGGTATGAATAGGAATATCATTACGTGACTCATTCAGTTCGAATTAGACGCGCGCCTAGTAAATTGTTTAATTGTAAATTTATCGACGTATGAGACGGGACTTTCAGATCTCGTCTGCCGACGTTTTCTCTAATGATGAGATTATGCGAATGGGAAAGGATACAGAAAAACTGTACTCGCATGAGGCTTAATTAAAGGAAGAAAGTTCTCGATCTCTTATTTTTTTTTTTTAAAAACGTAAATAATCGTAGTAGTTACGAGGCGTAGTAAACAATCATATGGTTTCACTGGTGAATCGAAGGGATGGATGTTATTCTCGAGTCAGCGACATGCCTGTGGAATGTTTTTAGACGTGGGTGGCGTATTAAGCAGAGATGTACATATATATAATTTTGTATGTACATCCTTTAAGGCTGTTTTCGCGTTTTAAGCATTTTGCGCACAATGAGATCTGTTGACTAAAGGTATATATTATTTATTATGCACTTAAATGTAATATATTATATTGTTAAGCCTTTATTCGTATTTTTCTTTAATTCAGTCGTAATTCCGATATTTCTTGCTTAGAATAATTCAATAAATGAAGAGCATTTTCTAGCTTCCTAAATTCTATTCATAATCCATTGTTTTTGCAGACATAACTCATGGGCCAGCTTGAGTGAATACCTATCTGATCTTTTGAACATTAGCACCGTACAATGAGAGATATCGTTAGGCTTGAAGTGCACATACCTCGTTTCGAAGTCTCATCCCGTACACTCTTTAGAATCTCGCACACGTAGGGAAAGAACTCGTTAGTTTCTCCCTGTATCTTTTTCTGTTCATAACTCCACCGCCGTGCTCCCATACACGCAAGAACGTGTCAAGGATGAAGATCGCAGTTCCATACATCAGAATCATCCTTGAGGCATTTAAACGTCGATTGAGTATACGGTAACTCGCTTCCGTCGAAGCGATTCGGATATTATTCACAACCGTAACACACCTACTTCATTCTCCTCGCTCCATATACAGTTTATTGGTTTTCAATGACTGCTGACTGTTGTCTGATCTCTCGTCCCGGAGACATGCTATTTTTTTCGCGTATGTTCACCGAAAACGCATGATTCATTCGGTATGAATAGGAATATCATTACGTGACTCATTCAGTTCGAATTAGACGCGCGCCTAGTAAATTGTTTAATTGTAAATTTATCGACGTATGAGACGGGACTTTCAGATCTCGTCTGCCGACGTTTTCTCTAATGATGAGATTATGCGAATGGGAAAGGATACAGAAAAACTGTACTCGCATGAGGCTTAATTAAAGGAAGAAAGTTCTCGATCTCTTATTTTCTTCCATTCATCGGAGAAGCACGATTGTCTTCCTTGCTGTGAAGCAGGAAGTCTCCGCGAATAAATCCGCAGAACGGAGAAAGTCCGCAGGTTTTGTCGCTTATCCCGGTCAGGTTCTCGCACCGGCCGCTGCCGTTGCGTCGGCAAGGCAAGACCCCGGTGCATGTCAGTAGGTATACTGTGACACAAAGAGCTGGTTACTCTTCGTTGCGTTTAGGTAGGAGGAAGAAGCGGCACAGAGAACAGCAGGTGCCCCAGCTGTTACGCGACCTGCTCTACGAACGCGTTATAAAAAATGCGTTTCGACGAAGTTCTACGAGTCACATAATAACTGCACATGCTTGCATCCTTTATTTTTCCCTAATAGAACTGACCATCTAAAGGTGATTCATAGCTGAGGCATTTCGGTCTATCAGTTAGAAAATGCTGGGTAAAGTCTCAGACATTTTAATCAATGAGAAGCACTGGTCGAGGCAGGAGATATTTCCGTCTATCACTTTAAGCAATTAGAAAATGATAGACAGACATTTTAATTAACGTACTGAGCAAAGAATTGCAAGGAAATATAGAAACTGCTAATAGATATTTTTAATTCTCTTTTATAATAGAAATTATATAAAAATAAATTCGTATCGTTATTTTATGAAAATTATTTATTTATTCATTTAGTAACGAGTTAATTATTATCTACTTTGATTATAAAAACAGTACCTTTTTTAATGAATGATTATTTTGACCGGAAATGATAGGAACGGGTACGGAAGTGTCGGCAGGTTTACTGTTTAGGATGTGTTATGTACGGAAGTGTAGCATTTGTAGGCGAACCGATTAAGGGTAATGTTGTCTCTGAATTAGGCTACAACGGTCACGTTTACGCGGAGATTATGAGGCTCTATCGTCCATGGAAACCGGGAACTCCTCTGTATAACAGTTAGAAGTCGATGGTCCGATTAGAATTCCACGTCGAACCGCGTATTATCGCTCGCCTGACCGTGACTCGAACGGCCTAGCCTGTCCGTTCAACTGTTCCCTCACCGATTCCGCTCCTCGAAGGTTACAACATAATTTGCATCCGAAAAATTCCACGCGCTTTCATTCTCGTTGTTGAGACTCGTTTTACTTTAAGGAACATTTTCTTGAAACGAAGCAAGGAAATTTAGTTTATCATTGAACGACGTTTCGATGGATTAGAAATAATTATTAGAAAATGTATAATTAAATCTTTGGGGCTTTCGTCTCGTGCATTCGCGGTTGGATCAATGAATTCTATTTCGAAGCTTGCAGTTCCGTTTTGCCAACACGAGTCCTTGAATCTAATGATAAACGGTGCTCTCCGATTCCACCGACACGGAACGGCGTGTACCGATTGAATAATTTCTGGCGGCTTTCCAGTTATGAA